CAGGTCTTCATAGAAAACCAAAATTTATTCCTATGCAATGTCTTATAATAAGAAGACCAGAAAATCTCATAGAAGAGCAGAAAAACGTTTCATTGGCACATGAGGAGATTCTGAAGCCAAATTACTTCCCGTAGAAGATAAAAAATACGTCTCATTAAGATTTGGGGTTATTCTAAGAAAAAAAAGTTCGAAGTTCGTCTAATAAAGTTCGTCCAATAAAAATAGGTAGATGAGGATCTTCTCAAGGAAGACCTGAAGGTCAGTTCATTGAAGTCCAGCAGAAGTACCATAGATCTCATCATAGAAAACCAACAATGTCTTATAATGGAAGATAAGAGAAAATCGTCTCGTAGAAGACCAAAAGCTCTTCCCATAAAATAACAGAAGTTCTTGCTCTAGAAGACTAGAATGTCTTCTCATAGCCGAAAGTCTTTCCGTAGAAGACAAAAATTACTTCTCAACCAGGTTAGGGGTTCTTCTCCGAAAAAAACCAGAAGTTCGTCTAATAAAAAGCCAAATGACATCTCTCGTAGACAAACAGGTCTTCTCACAGAATACAATAAGATCCTTTCATAGAAGGCTATGAGCTGCCATAGAAATTCTACAGTTCTTTCAAGAAAGATCAAAAAGGCGTCTCATAGCAGTCTAATAGATACGCCTTCCAATTATGTTCTGCAGATATTTTCATGAAAGTGACTCATAACTTCTAATAGAAAATTAAGCGAATTCAAATAGGTTTTGGCGTAGAAAAGATTTTCATACAGAAAACAAAAGGATCGTCTCGAAGAGCCTTCTCATGGAAGATCAGCAGACATACTCTGTCCTTTTTTAACACCAATAGCACAACTTTTCAAAGAAACCTAAAGATATTTCCCTTGAATGTCATTGCTTTTGTCTGGATGTTTTGTATTGATATGAGACCATGGTTTGGTATAGCGTTCACAATAAAGAGTATACTCCTCTGTCAATACGGATACAATTCAATCGAATTGTTTGAAATGTGTAATTTGAAGGCAAATAGACATCAATTGACGTCCACCTTTTACCAAAGTCACGCCCAATGTTCCGTACATTGAAAGTCTTTGAAAATTTTAAAAATAGGGTCCTCATTTCTTTGTATAAGATCTTCCCTTACAATGGTACTGCACGATTTCGGGATTTCTTTTCGAAGTGGTTGTCAATGTACAACAAAATATTGGCTCAGAACATATCTACCCGAATTAAAAAATAATAGTTTAATCACGTTCTCCAAATATCGTGTATTAAATGTTTTCAATGACATTAGTATCACTCCCCTTTTGGGTCGTTACATATTTAAAAATCGATTAGGTTCGTAATAATAAAGACGGTTATCTTAAAATGCAGTCATTAAGTAAAAAAAATTAAGTTCCCTCTCTTTCTGTAAGATAAGTATAATGTCTTGTAAATCGTGTAAAATGACCAGGTCCGGCCATCCTCATCATCATTTTGTGAAATGCAAACATAAATGACCATCACACTGGTCATATCACGCTGGAAATCAAATGTCATAATGACAACAACAACGAATGGAAAATAAAAACCCAGTTGCTGGCCAATCTCCAGTGGCAAAGATACAGCTGTCCGATTCTACACACACACAAACATATACTCTCCATGCAGAGTAGCCACACGGCCAGTTAGTTGAAAAGAACTGTCCATCAATGAAAATTGACAGACAGAAAGACAGTCGAACAGGTAAATTGAGATTTATTTCGGAGACATAATTAGTATAAAAGAATACAGACATCTGCATAACCTTTCGAAAAAAAACAGAAATAAAGAAGCGAACCGAACAGAACTGGAAAAAAAATCTGAAATGAAAACAATAAACCGACCAAGATGATAGAATGAATGCCATGCCCAACAAAAAGAGGCCCACCACCAGCCAGAATCATCAGCAATAACAAAATATGATGATAACCACATTTGGGAAGCCCTCCAGCCGTGCTGAGGAGATCATGGCATGCCAGGCAACAAAGTCACACACACACTCTCGCACATCGCATCAAATGCATTTATGTGTGGAGTAGCCAAGGTAGCAGCCGTTCGCTCTACTCTACTGAACAGCTGAGTGGTGCAGAAAAAGGCTGGGCCTCATCAGCCTCAAAATGATGATGATGATAACCATCTGAAGAAGACGAACAGCAACAATAACAACAAATACGACGACGAAACTGCAGCTTGTAATGAGAAGTTGATGAAGACCGACGAAATTCGATGCAATGCAATCATGTGCACGCAATAGCACAAAAGAGGCAGATAGACAGACAGAAGAAGATGACACACTCACACATAGACACAAATCACGGCACGATGGTAACACACACACGCACACACACAGTATTCATTGCGGTGATATGAATGCATGAATGGTTAAGTGAGTCTGCTGCAGTAACATCGTTTGTCGTCTGCCAGGATTGTATGACATATATTACGTGGGTATATTGCAGCATTGAATATCAAACGACGATTACCTACAGAAAAAACCCCTCACCTCACCTGTCCAGCCTGCTGCTTTCTTTTGATGCTACTCTTTACAATCACATCACGCAGTTAAGATAAAGGAGGGCTGTGTGTTATTTGAGGCATGATGTCACTGTGACTGCTGCTGCTTCTTCTTCTCCTCTTTTGATTTATGAATTTGGGATTTATTTTTTGTTGGTTTTCATTGTCGTTTTTTTGGTTAGCAACCTTAATTAACTTTCTTATATCTTATCAATACAAATCTGTCAATTTGTATTAGGAATAAAGACGAGTAGGGAAGATACCGACAAAAGTGGTTCATTTGGGATTCAAAAACAATTTACTTTATTGGCAGAGCAAGCGAGGGAAATTTTTCTTTAGAAGTTTTTCATAAATTTCATTTTCCCCACCTGGCTACCGACTTATGGAAGATATTTGCAGTAGGCTTGTGTAATATTTCTGAGAAGAATCGCCCGTTATTGCGGTACTTTTGAAGAGTAGAATTTAGTACACAAATTGTGAAATTCTTTGATTCACAGTTCGAAAAATAAAAGACATTTTGGATAGTTTTGAATCTATTGTCGGATCGCAATACAGATTTACAAAAAGTCCTCCCACTATGTTGTTTCATAAAAGTGTTCTTGCGAAAGACCGCTCATATTTGGTACATTAAAGTTCTTATAAGAATTTATTAACCACGGACACTGAGACCTCAAGTGGAAGCTCAAAGTCGAACCGAATGTCTAATCGAATAGAGGTCCATCTTTGATTAAAGTTCCACCGATATTTGGTACATTGATGATATTAGGTGAATTTAAGTAACCACGGTTGCTGTATTCTGGTACATCGGGATCGCAATGGAATTTCTTTAAAAAAGGCCAAAATTCTCAGAGTTTTTAAGACTTCAGTAGAGATAAGAAGGAAAGCCGGCCGATAGCCAACATTTCTTGTCTTTGTTGGGTACTTTAAATTCTTAAAATTAATTAAAAATAGCTCTTAGAGATTCAATTAAGTTATGAGGAGTTTTTAAGAGGTTCGTTTGGTAGGGAGATCCCCTGTTGAAGCCATTATTTTTAAGGATTAGTTCAATAGAGGTTTATATAAGTGTAGAGCAACCCTAGTGGAACCTTTATAGTTAAGGAGGAGACTTGATTAGGTCCGTATTTGTAAGGATGACTCCCTAAGAGATCCATAATGTTAAAGAGAACCTCTACTGATGTTGATATAATTTAGTAGTTCTTCTTTGGAGGGATGAGGAAGCTTTCGGAGGTCCCTATAATTAAGGAGGAACCCTCCTGTGTAGTTAGGAAGGTTCTTAAATGTTAAGAGGACTCTTATAAGAGCCCCTATAGGTATGTATAAGCTCTATAGGGTTCCGTTAAGTTAAGATGGACCCCTAATGAATTCAGAATAGTTAAGTAGTTGTTATGTAGAAGGATAAAAAAGCTGTTGGAGTTCATTATAGGTAAGGAGAAGCATCTGAGGACTCTTTTCGAACAATGGTTAATGATTTCTTGTCCATTTTTATACAGCTTGATCGGGATTGACCTAGATCTAATACAGAATAAAATCAGTAGGCTTTCGCATAGAAGGCCATAAGGAGGATAATAAGTCATTCTTAAAGAAAACCAGAAAGTGTTCGTTTTTTGTTTGGGGCAGAAGCTCTTTTCTTAGAAAACCAGTAGGCCTTTTCCAAAAAGGTCAGAAAGTCATCTAACAAAAAAACAGAATATCTTTCCATAGGCGAACAAAAGATAATCTCATTGAAAATGTTCTTCCACAGTATCAGAAGGGTTTTCTAAAAGATCAAAAAAAAAAAAATCCTCCTCGTATCCTCGTAAAACTGCAGAAAGTTTTCCTAAAACTGAAGCAAAGTTCTACTCATATATTTCATTCTGAATATCAGGAGGTTTTTATAGAATATCAAAAAATTTTCTCATAGGAGTTTTCTTTTTAATTAGATGATACTCCTCATAGAAGAAGAACATTTAAATTCATAGAACGACTTTTACAGAAGACCAACACGTTTTCTGATAGACAATCAATAGACCCCTTCATAGAAGACCCATAGATGGTCTAATAGAATACCAGTATATGTTATAATAGAATATCAGAAACTCATAGAAAACCAGTAGATCTTCTCATAGAAGAAACATTTCTACTGAAAATTGAAATAGAAGGCAAGCAAGTCTTTTGATATAAGACCCGAAAGTCTTCTCATAGAAGACAAATAGGTCTTCTCACTGAAGACCAGAAGGTTTTCTCACCCTAAGGTCTTCCCGTGAAGATGAATCTTTACTGAAACAAGTTTTAATGCAGTACAAAGACACATCTTACCTAAATAACTTCTCATAAAATACCCAAATAACTTCAAAAAGGTCCTCTCAGAGAACCAAAAAAAATTTTTAATTTTCTTCTTGTATAGTATCAAAATGTCTTCTCACAGATGACCCGAAGTTTTTCTGGTACTTTTTTTTTGCATCTCAGTACGTTTTTTTGTTTCATCTTTTACTTACCATACATTTTACCCTCATCGGAGAGTATAATTTTTCGTCGACCACATGGCGGATATATGGATAGGGCCTCTTGAAAACTTTGCTCAATATCTGGACTCCAAACACCTTCGGCATCGGCATTTGAGAGATCTTTTTCATCCTGTAAAAGAAGACAAAAAACAAGTTATTATTAATTTGAAGATTGAAGTGTTATATTGTCTTCACACACATAAATCACCTTAAATGATCCTTAATCTAATAAATCATAGAAAAAATGTCAATATCATTTTTACATATATACATCTGTATGTGTGTATGCATGAGAGTGTCCACATGTTTAAGTAGTTTTCCTGAATTACTGTAATAGATTGCAATATACTTCTCACGCATAGCAAGAGGATTTATTTGAAGTTGTTACTTGTGACGAGGGCGGTATAAGGGATCAGGTTTTAAATGAGGTCAATGGGAGGGAATTCGAAAAGCAAAAAAAAAAAAAAGTTCCCCGAACATGGTGACTTCGCGGAAACCATTAGTAATTTACTTTTAGAAAGTAAAAGATCGAAACATATTATATTAGCTACCCATAATCCAGGGCACGCATATATTAACATACTGGGAAAATAATTTGTTTTTATTTGGAAAATGTTAAGACAATTTGGACTAATGTTACTCTGTACTTCGAGATATCTAACTTTTTAAAAGTATTTTGAATTTAAGGGGTTAAAAATATGTATAGGGGTTTAATTCTAGTAGCGCCATCTATATATGTGATAAAATGTATCCCGATCGTCCTGAAACTTTTCCAAAATAAAAATTGCTAGCAAAAAACATTTTTTCCTGCACCTCGTTCAACAGGAGGATATTCATTCAACCATATATTGGCATTATTAATAAAGAACATATTGTCACACATTGTCTCTGTCTCTCTCTCTCTCTCTCTCTGTGTGCAAGAGTAAGTGTATGTCTGTATGTGTGCCCAAAGAATGAACACGATACACTTGACTGCCATTACAAGTGATTTTTAATTGTCAAGTGTCACATAAAAGTACTTAAATAAGCAATATTGTGATGTCGGGAACAAGGCGTACTACTTCGTGATGTACCGTAACAGCAGCAGCAACAGCGTTAAGTCAAGTGAAAATAGCGCCGACTAGTATCGAATCGCCAAACAGCATGTCTGAGGTCTGACGTTTGGCAAATGTAGGCGTATCATTGAGCAGAAGGGAACGGTGGTCATCAGCCCACAGTTTATACGGGTATGGGAAGGAAGTTTAAATTTTTGCCCACACATTACTTTTCTCCCCAAAAGATATCGGCAAAATATCTCATTCAGGGAAAATAATAATAAAAAAACAACAACAATAAAATTTTTAAAAACAAAGTTTCAAATTACGCACACAGTGCCCTCCGACAACAGCATAAATGGTGGTATTATTATCCTGACAATGAAATGTTATGCTCATTATATTCACCACTCATGCCCATGGCAGCAGACAATGTAGGCAAGAACATATACCAACACACACACATACATGTAATATCCTTAATCTTAAGGAGCTACTCAAGGGAAGTGAATAAGTGAGAGGCAGTACATAATATTGATTTGTGATGTGTTTAGAAGAGGAGGGGGAGGATACATGACGAGAAGTACTTTTAATAGGAATATCATTTGAAGTACTTCTTCAGCATCTTGAACACTATTTAGTTACTCCTTAAAGGACCTACATAATCGAGTGTGTGTGTGTGAGAAGAAGGAGGGAAGAAGAAGTGCATCGCTTACACACAATTGTCAAGAATCCTGTCATTTGTTATTTATACATTGACTGCTAACATGTATGTGTGAAAATTACACTCTCCGAACAAGTAAATTTTCCACGAATTGTTGGCCGAGGTGTGGGGGTATTTTATTTGGTAATAATAAATCATTTGTTATTTGATGCCTAATGTATTTCAAAATTTAAATTGATTATCCTGCTCAAGATGTTGTTTAAATTTGTGTGGTTCTTCATTTGGGTCATTCAGGATGAGGGAGGTAAAATAAAAATGTTGAATTTTTGTTCTGAGTTAAAAGAAAAAGTAGGTGGTGCGACTGTACTACTCTTGGGTCTGTAAAATTCTATAGTGGACAGCCATATATTTGTTTTTGTATTCCATTTTTGGGACTTCAAATTTGAAGGTAGTTAAATTTGACTACTTGCGTGTTGATTCATCATTACTTTATGTCACTTTTACTTTAGTCAAAATGTCTACTATGCGCGAGGATATCTAGTCAAAATGATTTCCACTGAAAACTACTTCTGGTCACAATGATATCTCGTGATACTGGCTTCAAGTCACAATGAAATCAGTATGATTTCTATTCAAAATGGCTTTTCGCCAAACAGACTTCCAGTCACAATGACTTCTAGTCATAATGACATCTAGTCAAAATAACTTCAAGTGGTAAGACTATTAGTAATAATGACTTTTGGTAACAATGACTTCTAGTCAAAACTTCTTGTCATGAGAATTTTTGTAGACATAATGACTTACACTCATAATAAATTCTAGTCAAAATGACATCAAGTTTAAATCATAAGGGCTTCTAGTCATAATTGTCACAAGGACTGGTCAAAATTATATCATATGCCTCAAAATGATATAGATCATAATGATAAAACTTAATATTGACTAGAAGTCATAATGACTAAAATCAAAAAGAGTAAAAATCACAATGAGTAAAAGTCATAAAAAGTTAAAATCAAAATGGCTTGAAGTCACAAGGGCTTAAAGTCACAATGGTAAATAGTTACCATAAATTATAGTCACAATTACACGTAGTCATAAAAAGTCGAATGACAAAACATCATAATGACTATAGGCCATAATGGCAAAAAGTCAATATTATGACTATAAATCCTAATGACTAAAGTCATATTGACTACAAGTCATATTGACTACAAGTCATATTGACTACAAGTCATATTGACTACAAGTCATATTGACTACAAGTCATAATGACTACAAGTCATATGGACTACAAGTCATAGTGATTACAAGTCATATTGACTACAAGTCGTAATGACTACAAGTCGTAATGGCTACAAGTCATAATGAATACAAGTTAAAGTGACTACAAGTCATATTGACTACAAGTCATAATGACTACAAGTCATAATGACTACAAGTCGTAATGGCTACAAGTCATAATGAATACAAGTTATAGTGACTACAAGTCATATTGACTACAAGTCATATTGACTAAAAGTCATATTGACTACAAGTCATAATGAATACAAGTTAAAGTGACTACAAGTCATATTGACTACAAGTCATAATGACTACAAGTCATAATGGCTACAAGTCATAATGGCTACAAGTCATAATGAATACAAGTTATAGTGACTACAAGTCATATTGACTACAAGTCATATTGACTACAAGTCATATTGACTACAAGTCATATTGACTACAAGTCATATTGACTACAAGTCATATTGACTACAAGTCATATTGACTACAAGTCATATTGACTACAAGTCATATTGACTGTAAGTCATATTGACTGTAAGTCATATTGACTGCAAGTTATATTGACTACAAGTCTTATTGACTACAAATCATATGGACTACAAGTCATATGGACTACAAGTCATATGGACTACAAGTCATAGTGACTACAAGTTATAGTGACTACAATTCATAATGTGTACAAGTCATAATGACTAAAAGTCATATTGATTACAAGTCATATTGACTACAAGTCATATTGACTACATGTCATATTGACGTCATATTGATTAGTTATTATTGACTACAATAATAACTAGAAGTCGATTATGACTAAAAGTTAATAAGGATCGAAAGCCAAGAATGACCTGAAGTCAAAAATGGCTAGGTGTCAATAACGACTAGAAGTCATTATGATTAAAAATTCATATAACTAATAGGTATTATGACTAAAAGTCACTCTGACAAACAGTTTTTACAACTAAAAGTCATTGTGACTAGAAAACATAATGAATGGAAAACAATATGACCCGAAGTCATCACTACTTTTTTCAGTTTAAATATTTAAATATTTTTCTAATACTTACATCACTCATATCGCCCACATCGAGATTTTTACTGTCAACCATACTGCCATTGGAGTCGCCCGGTCCCAGGGCTCCTGGGGGACCGGCGCTCACTGGCGTCCACGGTGAGGTAATTGTGCCAGGGCCGACTATACCGTCTAAAAATAAAGAGAATGAAAAAGAAGAAATGCCATATTAAAATTTGAAATTCAAAAATATGAAAAGCTAATTATAAATTCAAAAGAGAAAAAAATACAGAACCGAAAAAATCCCAGAAAAAAATAAAATTAACATCAGAAAAAAATCACACAAATACACACACTCCCAGCAAAAAAAAATTGACATTGATTTACCAACTGTGCAACATAGTTGTTGCTGTTGCAGTCAGTACTTATGTGTCACAAAACCAAAAACAGAAACAGAAAAAAATATTGCTGATGGAAAAACATAAACCGCAAAAATGCGGAGAATGTTGAATGAAACAAATCACAAACTACTATTTGGTAAAATTTATAATCCTGTAAAATGCCACAGATGCACAATCACACACACACACACACATGCACGCACAGATCTACTAGATGCCACATCATCCTGCCGTCACATTGTGGGTGTGATTTGCATGCATATATGGCTGACAAGGGCATAGGAAAAGGAAGAGTAAGTGTATCCTGTTTATTATATTGTGGATATGTGTGTGTGTGTGTTTGTGAGTCGGTAACCATAAAAACGGGCTGACATTTAATATGAAACTGACAGACTCAGTGACTGTGTGTAGCAACCAGTGCACTTTCCTTTTGATTTTGCAGGGATACTTTCTGAAACATTTTGGAATATTTTACTTTTTGTAGAGATTTTCATGATTTAGTTAACATCAGTCCCAGTACAAAAAATATTACATCAACAGGCATCAAATATATCCGACAAATATGGTCATGTTTGTATGTATGTAGATATCCTTCAAAAACAAACCGCCTAAATATGTTGCCCATCAAATCGTTTTTTATGTCCATTCTCTGTCATTGACGTAGGACACAATTTCATCTTGAGTTCCTGACAATCTCCCCCGTTATTCGTGAAACCTATCTACGCCATTGCCTTTACACCCACATCTGCATATTTATTGCACAGATGTGTGCTTTTTGTCGTCTGCCCTCCATAAAAGCGTGACAACACCCAAACTCAGGAACCACAGCATAAACACGCCGAAACCTCTGTGTTTTTCGTGGTTTTGTCATGTTGAAATATATGTGTGTATGAGTGTGCAGTATTGCACTTTTTTGACAATTTATTTCCCCAAGCAGAGAGGGAATGGAGAGGACCAACAGAAGGGAAATAAATGGAGACCAACAGCCAGCCAACAGTGATTGCAGCTCAACATACACCACCGAGGCAGAGCTATCAAATTGCAACTAATTTAAGCCACAGTTTTGTTGTCGGTATATTTTTGTTGTTGTTGGTTTTTATTTTTTGTCTCAGTGGGTGCAATTTATCCAAAAAAATACAACGCGGTATCGTTTTAAAATACCGTGATTACAACATTTATCACTGACGTGATAGATGGTACTTTGAACACACATACACACAAATACATCGATAGCCATTCTTTGTTGCCTATGTGTTGATGGTGCTAGTGGTACAGAGATGTTGCATGTAACAGAGGTAAAATAGCTATATTTCTGCAAGTTTTGAACTGGGGAATAATAAAATTTATGTTATTATTTAATTTTATTATTGGGGCCATTTCCCGATAGTCGAATGCAAATAGTAATTCAATTTGATTTTAAAAACGAAATTTAGAAAAGGGGGAAATTATTTATAAAAATAGTTGCGGATCAGTTTTGAAAGTAGAACGATGATTTCATATATTTTTTATTGTAAAGATTTCTAGTTTGAAAGACTTAAAGTCATAAACACTTTTAGTCATGTTGAAATTTTGTCATATTGACTTTTAGTCATAAGGACTTTTAGTCATATTGTCATTTAGTCACATTGACTTGTAGTCATATTGGCCTATAGTCATATTGACTTGTAGTCATATTGTCTTCTAGTCATAATGACTTCGAGTCACAATGACCTGTGGTCATATTGTCTTCTAGTCATATTGACTTCTAGTCACAATGACCTGTAGTCATATTGTCTTCTAGTCATATTGGCTTCTAGTAATATTGGCTTCTAATCATATTGACTTCTAGTCATATTGACTTCTAGTCATATTGACTTTTAGTCATATTGACTTCTAGTCATATTGACTTCTAGTCATATTGACTTTAAGTCATATTGACTTTTAGTCATATTGACTTTTAGTCATATTGACTTCTAATCATATTAACTTTAAGTGATATTGACTTTAAGTCATATTGACTTTTAGTCATATTGACTTCTAGTTATATTAACTTCTAGTCATATCGACTTATTTTCATATTGACCTCTAGTCATATTGACTTTTAGTCGTAATGACTACTAATCATACCGACTTCTAGTCACATTGACTTCTAGTCATATTTATTTCTAGTCATATTGACTTCTAGTCATATTTATTTCTAGTCATATTGACTTCTAGTCATATTGACTTCTACTTATATTGACTTCTAGTCATATTGATTTCTAGTCATTTTGACTTCTAGTCATATTGATTTCTAATCACATTGACTTCAAGTCATATTGACTCCTAGTCATAATGACTTATAGTCACAATGATTTACTGTCATAATGACCTATAGTCATATTGACTTCTAGTCATTTTGACTTGTAGTCATATTGACTTCTAGTCATATTGACTGCTAGTCATATTGACTTCTAGTCATATTGACTTCCAGTCATATTGACTTCTAGTCATATTGACTTCTAGTCATATTGACTTCCAGTCATATTGACTTCTAGTCATATTGACTTCTAGTCATATTGACTTCTAGTCATATTGACTTCTAGTCATATTGACTTCTGGTCATATTGACTTCTAGTCATATTGACTTCTAGTCATATTGACTTCTACTCATATTGACTTCTACTCATATTGACTTCTTGTCATATTGACTTCTTGTCACAATGACTCTTAGTTATATTGACTTTTAGTCATATTGACTTCAAGTCATATTGAATTACTGGTCATATTGAATTATTGTCATATTGACTTCTAGACATATTGACTTCAAGTCATATTGACTTCTAGACATATTGACTTCTAGTCATATTGACTTCTAGTCGTATTGACTTCTAGTTATATTGACTTTTGGTCATAATGACTTTTAGTCACAATGTCTTCTAGTCATTTTGAATTACTGTCATATAGACTTCTAGTCATAAGGACTTTCTTGTCATAATGATTTCCGAGTCATAAGGACTTGTGGTCATATTAAAAGCTATTCTAATGAGTTCTAATCATAATGACTTCCGAGTCATAAGAACTTCTAGTCATAAAACTTCTAGTGACATTTTGACTTCAAGTCATAATGACTTCTAATCACAATGACTTCTCGACCTTTTGATATTTAGTCACAATTGACTCCTATCCGATATATCTCCTCACAAGTTGGTTACGAACTAAAATTGACTGAAAAATACAAATTTAAATGGAAAGTCATACTGACTCCAAGTCAAAATAGACTCTAATTCAAATTAAGGCAAATCATGTTGACTTCTAGTGAGAATTGACTCTTCAAAAAATAATCCCGACTTACACTTCATTGCAATAAAATGGCTCCTAGTAAAGACTTTTTTTATTTGACAACATCACGTCAAATTGACATATTCATATATTTTAATTGACATCTGACGAAATTTCTATCCCAATTGACATCTATCAAAATTCCTCCTGTAATATATGTCATAAAAAAGACGTGGCACTGTAATAGTTTGAAGACTTATCCTCTTTAATACGAATGTTAAGGATATCGAGTCAAATATGATGCGAACTTCAATTTTAAATTTCACAGAAAAAAAACAATTCAAATATCTTTCACAATAAATGACTCTCTTTCTTCCCCCTCCAAAATGAATACAAAAATGTATTCTTTGTCACGTCTCTGTGATCCATGATTGATGCCGTGTCATTGTCAAATGTAATTTCAATACAATAAAATATGTGTGTGTGTGAGCAGATAGGATATCCACCATATCCTATCTAGATATTAGAAATATCATACTGGCTTTGCCACCCCACCATCATCAAACCCACCCACAACACTCTGTGACACATTATCCATGTGGTAGTATGTGTGTGATAGACCCATATTTAGGATTTGTTTCCTCTATATATTCATTTTCGTTCGTTCCACTTATTTCTATTTTCTCGCTTCATTCATTTGATTTATTATTGAGTATTTTTATTAAAGGCCCATCTACTGAATGGGAATAATTGTTGTTGCCAATGACAGCTGAGTACATTTTAATTTTATGATAGAAGCCACAACATAGCGAATGTGTAGTGGTGTGTGTGTGCGTGTTAAACGAAATATATAATTAAATCCTATTGGAGAGTGTGCGAATTGTAACCCAAAAGGACACTTGTTTTACACGCACCAACACATGCACACGCACATACATACTTGTGTGTGTTGTAAAAACTTTATTAGTTTTTGTCAAAAAAAAAAAAAAAAAAAACAAAAAAAATTGTCATTTGGTAGCGATTATTTATCAATCTAATGGCAAATTTTTGGGATTTTTACTTTGTGTTCGTTCGATGGTCGGTTGTTTGGTTGGTTGACTGTTTAGTTGGACCATTGTTTGGTGGCTTATTGGTTGCATCAAATTCAGTTTTAATTTACACTCCATTAATTTTGTGGTCGTGTGTTTTTCGATACTCTACAAGTGATGAATCTTGTTGATTTTGTTTGGAGATTTTTTGTACAAAATTAATTTGAAATAAACTTCATGGTTGAAAAATTATATTTCATTTTTGGGGCGTTGAGGTTAGGTCTTTGTAAATGCTATTTAAGGAAAACTAAAATAAATTTAAATAAAAATAAAAGCCAATGATGCAAATACTCTTCTTATCGATTCGGAAGGTGGCTAAATTGTTACCCTGGATTCAGTGATCATTTCCGCGAATTTCCGAAGAATGCTTTTATATGGTACTCACACACAATCTCTTCTTCAATCAAAGTGTGATAAAAAAATAAATTTATAAATTTTTTTATTTCAAATATTTTCTTCGGCT